TTGCTCAGATGGCTCTGAAACATCCGCGAAAAGCCATATTTTGCTTAAGAACCATTGAAGGTTGCTGTTTTCAATAGAGGAACATAAAACCTTCAAAAAAAAAAAAGCGAAAATGTCTAATCAGCGTAACTTCAATGAATTGCTTTTCGAAATGCAGGAATTATAAGCATAAAGTTGGTACTCATGATTATGCAAATTAATCAGTATTGCCAGTTTGCACTGTGAGTAAACAAGAATGATGATTATCCAATAACAGGAGTGAAGCCAACAGATAACAATACGAGATGGGTTGAACAAGACAAGGAAAAGCGTGAGAAGATTGAAGCTTTGAAAGCGTTGGCTGCAACGAGTGGTGCATCCACCATTTCATTCATTGTTAAACCAGACTGTGAAGATATCGAAACGTGGTGTTCCAATCGCATGCATGACAAATACATCGAATCGTTTGTGCAACAGGTTTTGCTCGCTATTTTTGCTTAAAAATGAAGCAGTCTTATCAAAAAATTTGCATGTTGAGTAGGAAGAAATTATATTAAATGTGAAATTAATAGCACAAAATACAAACCTCGAATTCTTGCGAAGATTAACACGCCATCACTTGTGGAAAATGAATAAAGCAGCTTAACGGGCAGTGGATGAAAGTTAATGAGTCATAAATGAATGGGTTTGATAACTAGGCTCAGAAAACGAGTTTAGATGGAGGAGCAGATAAATGCTAGGGTTAGAAAGGAGGATGAATCGAGGAGCGCAAGAAGTACTAGAGTGCGTTAGGTAGTGAGTCAAGTTGAGGAGGAGCCGTTTTAACTTCCAGCATTGTTAGGTTTGGTGGCACAAATTTGCCTGGACTGAATCATAAGGTAAGATTAAATGGAATTTTGCTTGGGGCTGATTCAAAAAATCTATTGATCTCCTGGGAAAGAAGGTAAACATATGATAAATTTCAAATCAGGAGTTTATGGTAAATTTCAAATCAGATGTTTGTGTCTGGGTAGCTCACAGTTATGATCAGTCGAAGAGCGAATAAATGTAGCAGGAATCAATTGGAGATGAAGCTGAAAATGGGTGCACTGCCTTGTGCCAGCGTTTCACTTTGCACGTAATTTTAGGTGACAGAGCGCCTACGGCACCTGGTTTCTTCGTTAGCTGTGCTGTCAAAACCACGGAATGACGAGCGGTCGCTAGCGAAAACTGAGAACGATATTCACGTGGCGTTTGCTGATGCGCAGCTGCCGAAGAATTGGCTTTCACGCGCTGAAATTGATAGGAAATTGAAAGCCTGGACGGAAGAGTCTAAATGCGCTTATGTGCACATCCGAGGAAACGAAGCCACCGGAAAAACAGCAATCATTTGTCAACTTCATGCACTGCTTGCAAAAAAGCGCTGCTATGTGATCACCAGGTTTGTTAACTCTTCTCTTACTGAAGCTAAATTATAGCTTCAACAAAAAATCTGCAAAAAAATAAATAGATTTTGTTCGAAGCAATACTTGCTCTATTTAGCCTGAATTAAAACTCACGATCTTTTGTTGTAGCACAGCGAGCTATAGAATGTGATTTGGGGGTGTCATTTCGAATCATCTAATAACTCTATCCTTTAAATTTTCTGCCTTTAGTTGAACTATAGTCCCAAATAATAAAATTAGGGCGAATTTGTCTTCGAGATCGCAAACCATATGCAAAGCGTGATGTGCACTGGAATCGAGTTTGTTGCCATACAAGAGGCTGAAGGTTCTATATTAGTTTCGGAGTTGAGCCATTTGGACAGACACATCAACACATTCAACCCAGGCTGGAACGCACCGGGCGGGCCCGTGCGATCATGCGTTTTTGCACAGGACTTGAA